CAGTTTAAACAGTATAATGCCTACCAGCGGTTGCGGAGGAAGCTCGACCGCCTTGTTGCTAGCAGTGGAGATTCGGGGGCAATCTCGGCGGTAAAGCTTCTCCTTAGGAAACTCCAGTATGATCGGCGTGCCTCTTTAGTTCTAGAGAGGGATTATGGGAAATATCACTCGCCTGACCCTTTCCAGAATTGCAAACGGAGTGCAGCAGTTAAGACAATCTCTGCTCTGAGGGATAGTATGGGGTCCCTGACTAAATCCAGGTCGGAGATTCTGGAGGTCTCCAGGTCCTTTTATGCGGATTTACTGAGTGAGAAGCACCTTGACCGGAGAGGGATGTCGAGCTTTTTGGAATCCATGCCTGGTCTGGACAGTGATATCCCTCTGGCGAGTTTGGATGGGGAGATTACTGCAGAAGAGGTGTCCAGAGCAATTGATAGTCTGGCCATTAAAAAGACTCCTGGGCCAGACTGTCTGACAGCCGAATTTTTTAAGGCTTTTAAATCCTGCCTGGCACCTCGTCTCGTGGAAGTGTATAACAGCTGTTGGATAAGGGATCTCTCCCTCCTTCCATGAGACAGTCTGCAGTTATCCTTCTGTCAAAGGATAAGGATCCTTCGGCTATTGAGAACTGGTGCCCCATCAGCCTCCTTGATGTCGATAGGTTCTGGCGACGATCTTGTTCTGGCGCTTGTCGTCAGTGGCAGTTTGCTTTCTCATCAGCAGCATTGCTCGGTTCAGGGAGGTTCATCGGCTGGTTGAAGACATTGTACCAAGGGGCTGAGAGCTTCATGTTGGTGAATGGTTGGGCAGCCCTTTGATGTTCGATCTGGGGTGCGCCAGGAGTGCCCACTGAGTACCTTGCTCTATGCCTTTGCCATCGACCCCTTCGTCAGGAGGCTAGATGGCGGGGCAGTGAGTGGGGTGCCGGTGGGTGCCACTGGAGATCCGCCTTTGAGAATTGTGGCTTATTTTGATGACGTTTCAGTTTTCATTTCTGGACCAGAGGAGGTGCAGGAGGTGGTTTCAGTAATGGATCAGTATGCCAAGGCATCATGTTCCAAGGTCAATCAGGACAAATGTGAAGTTCTCTGGATGGGCAGGGAGGGTGAGAGCTTTTCACTCCTGGACGCCTTCCCGGTGCCTCAGCCGAAACATCAAAGTGTTGGGCATCAATTTTGGCCCTGCTGATTACAGCAAGCAAAATTGGGAATCCAAGCTGTCGGATGCCGAGGTCAAAGTGAGATGCTGGAAGGGGTGGCGGCTCTCCTTGAGGGAAAGGGTTTGATTTGATCAAGACTTTCCTGCTCCCAGTCTTTTTGTACGTCAGCTTCGTTTCCCTCTTGCCAGAATCGCTCTATACGAGGATCTATAGCGGTTTCTTCCAGATGTTATGGGGGAATCGGCTGAACCTCGTCAAGAGGGACGTGACTTACTCATCCAGGCGGGAGGGTGGCCTAGGTATGGTAACCCGGTGGTCTTTTTCTCTCTGATGTTCTTGAAACATAAGTTTGGTAACATGCTGGCAGAGAGACCACCTGCATGGGTAGGACTGTTCCGGATCTGGTTTGGACCCTTTCTGCACAGTTGGGAGAGTGGCGGGCCAGTGAGAAGCCTGTGGGTGAAGCATGGTGAGCTCCCGGCTTATGTGGCCCCATGCCTGAAGTTACTCCGGCGGTGGCATGTGACTGCGGAGGAGGTCTGGTCCCTCCCTAGGAGGCTCCTGGGTGAGAGGATTGTGGCATCTGCTTCCCATGCGCCGCTGGCCTTGAGAGATTGCCCGGGCCATGTTATCAGGGAGGGTTTGCGGTTGATAAATCTGGAGCGGATCCCCCTGAATTTGCGGGACCAGGCCTGGTTCGCCTTCCACGGCAGGCTCTACGTGAGGGGTAACCTGAAGTACCGTCCTCCGGATGATCGTGGTTGTCCGAGGTCGGAGTGTGGGGGTGAAGTGGAGACTATGGACCACTTCTTGCTTCAGTGCCCCTTTAACGTAGAGGTGTATAAACAGGTGGGAGGGGCTCTGGGTGTTCCTTTCCTTCATTGCATGTCGTATGCGGAGTGGGTGTACGGAGCATTCGAGCGTTGCATGGGTTTTGATTTGGATACCTTGTTTTTAGTCAGCTTAGTTGTCCGTTATTACACTTGGATGGCACAGTGTCAGGTCTCCATTCGGCAGAAGGTCCTCCCTGTTCAGGTGGTGGTGAGTGACATCCTTGGTGAGGTGGGGAAAATTCGGGGTCTTGAGAGACAGGCTGCGACGCAGAGCTTGGATGGAGGCATGGAGGAACATCAAACCTGTTGCTGCGGTCTGTTGATCTCGGGTGGTGGGATCTATCCCTAGTTTCTGCCTTCTGCACTCCCTAGATTTCGCGTTTCGGATCCTTTTGGTAACCTTTTTGCATGGTAGGTTGTAGGGGTCAGACATGGAAGACCTGCGGGTTTCCTTAGCCCTCCCCCGTAGTGTATATAATAGTGTGGTTAGGTTTTTTGTATATAGTTTAGGCCATATAGGCCGTAAGCGGCAGGTTTGCATATGGAAATTGCATATGGTTTATGTTTATGTCTGAGCCATAAAGGCTCCTACTCATATGGTCTCGGCCATAAATGCCTTGTAAATACTGTATATAGTTTCCGTTTTTCTTTTCAGGTTATGGACTTTTATTTATGAGCCGTTCAGGCTATGTTTGAGTTTGTTTTTTTTCCCCAGGGACTGTTGGGACTTTAGTTTCCTTTCTGTTGAGTTTTGTATTTATTTATTTATATTTGTACTTTTGATACATAAGTTTGATGGATATGTATGACATCAATACATAATAAAGAAAAAATTCCATCCTGCCTTGTATCAATGGTTCAGGCTGGTGGTGGAGGTGTCATGGTGTGGGGGATCCATCCTGCCTTGTATCAATGGTTCAGGCTGGTGGTGGTGGTGTCATGGTGTGGTGGATCCATGCTGCCTTGCATCAATGGTTCAGGCTGATGGTGTCAAGGTGTGGTGGATTCATCCTGCCTTGTATCAATGGTTCAGGCTGGTGGTGTGGTGTGGTGGATCCATTTTGTATCAGTGGTTCAGGCTGGTGGTGGTGGTGTGTTTTTTTTTCATGGTGTGGGGGATCCATCCTGCCATGTATCAATGGTTCAGGCTGGTGGTGGTGGTGTCGTCATCATGGTGTGGGGGAGATTTTCCTTGGCACATTTTGGGCCCCTTAGTCCCAATTGAGCATTGTTTAAACGCCACGGCCTACCTGAGTATTGTTGCTGACCATGTCCATTCCTCATTACTCCAGTGTCCCCATCTTCTGATGGCTCCTTCCAGCAGGATAATGCACCATGTCACAAAGCTCAGATCATCTCCAACTGGTTTCTTGAACATGAAAATGAGATCACTCGTCTCCAATGTCCTCCACAGTCACCAGATCTCCATCCAATAGAGGACCTTTGGGCTGTGGTGGAACGGAGATTTGCATCATGGATGTGCAGCCAACAAGTCTGCAGCAACTGTGTGATGCTATCATGTCAACATGGACCAAAATCTCAGGAATATTTGCAACATCTTGTTGGATCTATGCCATGAAGAATGAAGGGAAAAGGGGGTCCAACCCGGTACTAGCAAGGTGGACTTAATCAAGTGGCCAGTGAGTGTATATCATAGTGTCGTGGTGTGGCCATATACTCATTGATTATTTTTATTTTTACCAGATGGAACATTTCAATCGATTATTTAACCAATTTTTCTCATTGATTAGGTATATGCAACAATCATTTGACGCGACGCAAATGAGAATTTTTTATGGTGCTGACCTGAAGTGTTGCTCCATCCTCAAGCTTTTAGAGAAGAGATGATGTTATGGCAGCCCCCCCCACCCCCCCAAGCGGGCTCACCCAAGACACATGCTAAGGCTAGGTTCACATATGTGTGTACGCATTTCATTTGAATGGGCTGCTGTACCTATGAGAAACTCATTAAAAGAAGTCCCCTATCCCTTTTTTCAAAACGCGCCACACAGAATCGCCACCATTTGGTTTCGCACATGGGTGCCTATGCGTGGGGGTGCTATTGAGAAACAATGGCGACCCATGTGTTTACGAAAGAGCAACACGTTTCTGTGGGGGTCAGGAGCAAGTGCACAATTATGCACACATTCCCGACCCGCCAATATGTGAACCTAGGCTGTTGACTCATTCTCATTTGCTTTTTTTTCTTTGGGCAAGTGGAATGGTCAGGTCTTGGAAGGGAACGAGCCAGAAAGTAGTCGGGTCCAGGCAGAGTTTGTCACAGGCATAGGGCAAGAGAAATGCTCAGGGTAGGCAGCAGGTTAGAGTGTAGTCAGTCGCAGACGTCATGGCATGCAATGGAAAGAGGCAGTGAGCCAGAGAGTAGTCTTCAGGGAGTAGGCATAGGGCAGAGCATGGTTAGGGTAGGCAGCAGGTGAGAAAGTAGTCAGGTCCAAGCAGAAGTCTAGACAAGTGGCACGCAATGGAATGGTCAGATCTTGGCAGGTGGCAAGCAAGAGAGTAGCTGGATCTACACAGCGGTCATGGCAGACATAAGGTAAGAGACTAGTCAGATCAAGGCAGGCAGCAGGTGAGAAAGTAGTCAGGTCCAAGCAGAAGTCTAGACAAGTGGCATGCAAGAGAATAGTTCTTGGCACGCAGAGGTCATGGCAGGCATAAGACAAGAGAATAGTCAGATCAAGGCAGGAAGCAGGCGGGAGAGTAGTCAGGTCCAAGCAGAAGTCTAGGCAAGTGGCATGCAAGGGAATAGTCAGTTCTTGGCAGGTCCTTTTTGGTTAGAGGAAATACTATTGCACAGGTTACTCTTTTTAGCTGTAGAGGGTAAGTAAGGCCATTGGAGCCGATGTTTGAGGGTACAATAACACCTCTGACCATTAAATTCATAGACCTACTGTTCTGTTTTATCTATAGGTCTAAGTCCTCTCTCTGATTGATGTACAGTATTCTGTGATCATCTCCTCCACTTGGTCATGACTAATTCACAGAAAATGGACAAGGAAAGTAACAAGCTTATGGAGAGGATATTAAACCTCACTCTTGAAATCATCTACCTAATGACCGGAGAGGTGAGGAGGATTGTGGGAGGTCACATGACATCAGTATTATCTCTATTAATAAAACACAGACCTGACCGGAGAGGTGAGGAGGATTCTGGGAGGTCACATGACGGGCTGACTGACCATTTGGAAACTCGGGCACTGCCCGAGGGACCGGGGTCAGTAGAGGGCCCCATGAGATGCCCCTGGTACCTTTTTTTTTTTCATAGGCTTTTTTGAGTTTGGGCAAGGATACAGGGGCCCCATGATCCCCTATTGCCCGGGGCCCCATGAGTTGTCCATCCGCCCCTGCATGACATCACTCTTATCTCTATTAATAAAACAGACCTGACCGGAGAGGTGAGGAGGATTCTGGGAGGTCACATGACATCACTCTCATCTCTCTATTAATAAAACACAGACCTGACCAGAGAGGGGAGGATGATTCTGGGAGTTCACGACATCACCCTTATCTCTACTAATAAAACACAGACCTGACCGGAGAGGTGAGGAGGATTCTGGGATGTCACATGACTTCACTCATCTCTATTAATAAAACACACACCGGAATGGAGAAGTGAGGAAAAGCTCATTTTTATATTTATTCAATAATCACAGGATTACATTCTAGTGAAGAAGACAGCTTGTGAATATATGACACCCAGTAGTCATCCCTGTATGTCAGGAAGATGTAGTAGGAGCGAACACCGCATCATGGAGCCTTTACATCAGTCTCTGATACCGAAGATAACCAATGACGCAAAGATTCTGGAAGTTACCCAGAAGATCATTGAGCTGCTGACGGGAGAGGTGAGCGGTGCTGTGAATTCTGGGACATTCTCCAGTAACAGACAAGGGATGTGTCTGGATGGTGACTGTATCATTGTGTGTGTCAGGTTCCTATAAGGTGTCAGGAGGTCACTGTCTATTTCTCCATGGAGGAGTGGGAGTATATAGAAGGACACAAGGATCTCTACAAGGACGCCATGATGGAGAACCGGCCGCCCCTCACATCACCAGGTAAGAGGAGACTTTCATTTTTTGTATTGAGGATCCACCTAGATACACACATCCTCTGATATAAAGACATAGAAACAATGTATTCAGCCAGCGTGTGTGTTTTTCCTACAGATGAATCCAGTAATGGGAACCCACCAGAGACGTGTCCCCATCCTTTGTATTCCCAGAACTCCACACAGGAACATCAGGAGATCCCTCAGGGGGATCAGGAGATCCCTCAGGGGGATCAGGAGATCCCTCAGGAAGATCAGGAGATCCTTCAGGAGGATCAGGTAAACCACACAGAGGGTTTTGCCGAAAAGTGCAATAAATTTGCCCCGTACTAATTCTAATAACATGAAGGTATCCTATTTTTATCTCAGGTCCTTCAAAATGTAATTATATATTGTGTTTCCATTAGTGTGAAAATCTGTTTGATGTTAAAGTTGAAGTGAAAGAGGAAGCAGAAGAGTCATGTAAGGAGGAGGAAACCCTTCCAGAGATCAGCACGGGTGAGTACTAAACAGTAAATCCAGAAGAAAGTGTTAGATCCTCCTAGTTGGGTTTCCTTTTACTCAGCCTCCATCTCTGAAAATGTCCAAATTCCATGCAGGAACCGTAAACATTGTTAACCGCTTGCAAACCACCCCATATATACTTCAGCGGGGAGGCCACATGCTTCCCCCCTACTCATCTGTGCTGCCCTTCGGCACAGCACAGGTCGATCAGGAGGTCCCGGCCAATGATTTATGGGCAGGACCTGCTGATCGGCCTAGCAAATGACAGTTCAGAGCCCTGTGTTTACTAACACAGGGCTCTGTACATAGAGCAAAGATATGGCTGTTTTTTTTTTCTCCTTGCAAAGCAGGGAGATAAAACTGTTCCATCTCTTAGTAAAATCAGCATACGTGACACTTGTTAGGCACACAGTTAACCCTTTGGTTACCCCTAGATGTTAACCCCTTTCCAGCCAGTGTCCGTACAGTGACAGTATATAGCAGGCATCACTAAATGACCGGTCCGGATCTGGACCCAAAATCATTCGTTTTCGGACAGCAGCCTCGCCAAATGGTTGCCTGAATGTCCTTTCCCTGCTGCCGGCTCGCCCGCCCACCGCTGCCGCTGTTCTCCTCAAGGAAGGGCACAGCATTTGAGGCACAGCAGGTCTATCCCTTTAATAACATCGCAGCACTCCCTCCTCTCCACACATCTTATTCACACCAGATGAGAAGCGCGGCAGGTCTGGACATAGGGCGGGAGTATTCATGTTAGGAAGCAAGTGATTGGTTGCAAAGGATTGGTTGCTAGGCAGCAGGGTGGTCCAAGCAGTCATTTACCCACCTTTTTTAACATGAAAAGTCCCACCCTATGTCCAGACTGTCGTGCTTGTCGTCTTGTGTGAATAAGGTAGGACAGTGTGGGAGGGGGGAGTGCTACGATGTTATCGTAGGGACAGGAATCTGTAATATCCCACACTGTGATATCTGAGATACGGGGGTCTGTATATGGGGGGGAGGGGTCTGTGATGGGGTGATCTGAGATGGGGGTCTGTGATGAGGGGGTGCTGAGAGGGATCTGTGATGAGAGGTCTGTGCTGAGGGGGATCTGTAATGAGAGGGGTCTGTGCTGATGGGGATCTGTAATGAGAGGGGTCTGTGATGGAGGGCATCCATGCTGAGGGGGTCTGTGATGAGCAGGGGCTGTGATGAGCAGGGGCTGTGATGGGGGGTCTTTGGGGAGTCTGTGATGGAGCAGTCAGTGATGGGGGGGTCTGTGATGGTGTGAAGGGGGCGGTCTGTGATGTAAAAGGGGGGTTGGGGGTGAGGTGAGGAACTGGGATGTGCATGGGAGGTTGTGATGTGCAGGATCTGAGTCATAGCACCAACATGACACTCGGACCTCCACTAAAAGAAAATTTTACTGACCAGACCCCCCCGTGAATTTTAATTCGGTACCCCTGGTATGTAGTATTATCACTGTATTAGTGTTACTAGTGATGTCAGTGTCAGTTCCCACCCAGTGTCAGATTGCCCGCCGCACTATCGCAGTTCCACTATTAGTTACTGATCACCTCCATTACTAGTATAAAAAAAGAATTCCAATATACATTCCGTAGTTTGTAGACGCTATAACGTTTACACAAACCAATCAAATTTCACTTATTGGGTTTTTTTTTTTTTCCAAAAAATAAATTTTGGCCACAATTTATTAAGATTTTTTTTATTACTGTTGAATATGTTTTATAGCAGAAAGTTAAAAATATATAATTTTTTCAAAATCTTCAGTCATTTTTGCTTTATATAAGCCCTTATGCACACTGTTTTAACCAAAACCGGTTTGCCGTGTTTTTCAGCGTTAGAGCGTTTTTACAGCTAAATAAAACTACTCTAGGAACCCACTAGTCCTGGTTTTTTGTTTTTTTTTTTTTTTTTTTTTCTTTTCCAGCCAAAAAAATGCCCCTGCCAAAAAACATTGATTACAGTCTATGTGTGCATGGACACATAGGATAACATGCTGGGGGGTTTACTGGCTGACTTCCCAGCACAAAGACAGGTGCGCAAATATGCAGCCCCCACAGAAACAAATGCCAGTTCTGTGAGGCCGCATATTTGTGTTAAGGGGTTAAACAAGCTCTGGCCCTTTTTTTTGTTGTTTTGAGGAGGGCAGTGAAGGTTTTGCGTGGGATAGATCAAGAGGCCTGGGGTCGAAGCTTACATACCCATACAGGTGGATGGCCTTCAAGAAGAATTGAAGAGTAGAATATACTTGGCAAGGAGACAGTAGGGTTAGTTCCTATGAAGGCCTTGTGGTGTTGATGGAACACGTACACATGTAAAAAAAAAAAAAACAATTCTTTTAGGATGAACACTAAAATAATTCAAGATATATGATCTCAAAAATCACTTTTACCATTAATTCTTTCAGATGGACAACACAACAGCAGTAACTGGGAAAAAGATCCTGTTATTTCTGTAGATGGTTTGACAGAAGATGATGACATCAAATATGGTTCCTCAGATGATGATGACATCACATCCGAATCTTTTGAAGAAACCCCAAATTTCCATCCAGTGTTTCCCAGTGCAGATCCTTTGTCTAATCCCTCTACATGTGGATGGGATATTCCTAGTCACTCACCTCCCACCACATATCATGGTACAACCTTCCCGTGTTCTGAGGGTGGCGAATGTTTTACCCAAGAAGAGGACCTCACCTTACACCAGGGAAGCCACCAAGGGGAGAAGCCATATTCATGTCACGAATGTGGCAAATGCTTTACCCGGAAAAGAAATCTAATTTCACATCTAAATTCTCACACGGGGGACAATCAATTTTCCTGTGCGGAATGCGGGAAATGTTTCCCTCAGAGGGCCAGACTTTTTATACACCAGAGGACTCACACGGGGGTGAAACCTTACTCGTGTTCGGAATGTGGGAAATGTTTCATCCAGCGAGTCCGGCTCCGATCGCACGAAAGAACTCACACGGGGATGAAGCCGTTCTTTTGTGCCGAATGTGGGAAATGTTTCGCCGAACGGTCAAATCTGAACGCCCATCAGAGCTGTCATGCTGGGGTGAAGCCGTATTCATGCTCTGCATGCGGGAAGAGTTTCCACCAGAGGCGATATCTTATTTCCCACGAGAGGACTCACACAGGAGAGAAACCGTTTTCCTGCACTGAATGCGGGAGATGTTTTGCTGACAGATCAACTCTAGCCAGACACCAGAGGACTCATTCAGGGGAGAAGCCGTTTTCTTGTGCCGTGTGCGGGAAACGTTTCACTCAGAAATCAAATCTTATTACGCACGAAAAAGTTCACACGGGGGAGAAGCCGTATTCATGTTCCGAATGTGGGAAATGTTTTTCTCGAAAATCCTATCTTATCAGCCACGAAAAGACTCATAGAGGGGCGAAGTCCTAGGACTATACTACATGGGTGGTGGATGTCGTGATTGAAAGCGAAAACATAGTGGGGTTATTTATTAAAACTGAAGAGTGCAAAATCTGGTGCGGCTCTGCATAGAAACCAATGGGCGTCTAGGTTTATTCTCAAAGCTTCCGCACTGCCCTATAGCAGATACACTGTTACAGAGTGGCACAGGTGCACAAAATCACGTGTGTGTATATATAAGTGATTTTGCAGTTCCGGGTAGGGAGCGCGTGCATACCCTACCCGCGCCACCATTCACGGCCTCGGCTGTCAATCACCGGTTCCTGGCCAGTGATTCCCCGCCGGCATCCAACGATCTCCGAGCATTACCAACGGGGGAGAGACCTGTATGTAAAAAATACAGATCTCTCCCCATCAGCTCCTGCACACTGCTTTGTATGGCTCTGCATAGCACAGCCATCCAAAGCAGTTTGCTTACAGTGGAAAACACGCACACAGTTAACCCTTTGATCGCCCCACGTTAACCCCTTCCTGCCCAGTGCCATTAGTACAGCGTCAGTGTTTTTTTATTAGCACTGATCACTGTATTGGTGTCACTGGGGATGTCAGTGGCAGTTAGTCAGTTCTTCCCCCCCCACTGTCAGAATGCCCGCCACAGACCCGCTATAAGTCGCTGATCGCCACCATTACTAGTAAAAATAAAAAAAAAATAATTCCAGTATATAAACTGCCATTTGTAGATGCTATGATTTTCACGTAAACCAATTAATTTACACGTATTGGGATTTTTTTTAGCAAAAACATGGAGCAGAATACATTTTGGAAGAAATTTATGATGACATTTTGATTTTTAAAATTTTTTTACTGGACATGTTTACAGTGGAGGAAATAAGTATTTGATCCCCTGCTGATTTTGAATGTTTGCCCACTCACAAAGAAATGATTGGTCTAAAAATCGAATGATCGGTGTATTGTAACACTGAGAGACAGAATAGCAGCAAAAACTTCAGCAGAAATGCATGTCTAACAAATGATGCACTGATTTGCATGGTCATGAGAGAAATAAGTATTTGATCCAAATCTTATAAGAGTGTGTACTTGTGAGCTACTATGGTGGCACAGAGATGCTTATAAGTAATTAACTCCTTTAAATGTGATGGTGGTGCATCAACACATAAAACACATACTCAAAATGCTGTGTGAAAATAAACAAATAAAATATTGAATGTGTCGCGCTCCTCAAAGGGTGTTTAGTGATGTATAATATATACTATGTGTAAATGAAATAAATAAATCTAAATAAATAAATATTAATTCATGGTGATATGATTTAAATTAAATTTAAAACACTCCCAGTGCTATAATTAATTCAATTATAATTAGCTAAAAAATATATTTAATAATGTGAAGAAATAATGTATTTAAATTATATAAAGATGACGCTAAAATGAAACAAATCAAGTAGCAAAGGAACCTCCATGCACAGTGATATATATGTGCAAAGAATGTGTATGTGCAAAAATGCAAATATTGCCCAAAACAGTTATATATAAAAAATATATATATAATAAAGTGCAATAACCAAATAAATATAAAAAATAAATAATGATAAAACTGTGCAAATAATATGTTATAATCACTTCACTTATGCAACCTAAAGTGGTGATTAGAACTGTATACTACTAATCCTTAGCTTAGATGACATATAGTCGTCCCAATCTATTTATGCAGATATATGGAAAGTCTATTGCTGTTGAAGTAGACTGTGGTGTTACTTTCCTTCCACTAGATGGCCTCCCAGTTCCTTCTGAGTTGTGAGGGCTGGATAGATGGATATAGATATCTCCCCTCCTGTTGTTTGGGGTCTATCTCCTATCTCCTCTTCTTCCCTTTTACTCCTCCGATTTAGGCCATGAAAAAGAAAGATTCCCACATGGTGCTTTATCCTTTATAAAAGGTTTTAATGCGTCTCCAGAAAAATGCAAACTCACATTCCACAGAGCAATACAGAGCGTTTTTTTAAAATGTGTGCCCTCGCACAAAGACAGTACTCGCCGTTCCGCTGATAGTGATGTCAGAGCCCCTCCCCTACGCGTTGCGCCACAGGGTCACGTGGCTTCCTCAGGGGGATGTAGACTACATCCCCCTGAGGAAGCCACGTGACCCTGTGGCGTAACGCGTAGGGGAGGGGCTCTGACGTCACGACGCCACTATCAGCGGAACGGCGAGTACTGTCTTTGTGCGAGGGCACACATTTTAAAAAAACGCTCTGTATTGCTCTGTGGAATGTGAGTTTGCATTTTTCTGGAGACGCATTAAAACCTTTTATAAAGGATAAAGCACCATGTGGGAATCTTTCTTTTTCATGGCCTAAATCGGAGGAGTAAAAGGGAAAAAGAGGAGATAGGAGATAGATCCCAAACAACACGAGGGGCGATATCTATATCCATCCATCCAGCCCTCACAACTCAGAAGGAACTGGGAGGCCATCTAGTGGAAGGAAAGTAACACCACAGTCTACTTCAACAGCAATAGACTTTCCATATATCTGCATAAATAGATTGGGACGACTATATGTCATCCAAGCTAAGGATTAGTAGTATACAGTTCTAATCACCACTTTAGGTTGCATAAGTGAAGTGATTATAACATATTATTTGCACAGTTTTTATCATTATTTATTTTTTATATTTATTTGGTTATTGCACTTTATTATATATATATTTTTTATATATAACTGTTTTGGGCAATATTTGCATTTTTGCACATACACATTCTTTGCACATATATATCACTGTGCATGGAGGTTCCTTTGCTCACTTGATTTGTTTCATTTTAGCGTCATGATTATATAATTTAAATACATTATTTCTTCACATTATTAAATATATTTTTTAGCTAATTATAATTGAATTAATTATAGCACTGGGAGTGTTTTAAATTTAATTTAAATCATATCACCATGAATTAATATTTATTTATTTAGATTTATTTATTTCATTTACATATAGTATATATTATACATCACTAAACACCCTTTGAGGAGCGCGACACATTCAATATTTTATTTGTTTAAGTATTTGATCCCCTATCATTCAGCAGCATTTCTGGCTACCAGGTGTCTTTCATACAGGTAACAAGCTGTGATTAGAAGCAGTCTCTTAAAGGGAGTGCTGCTAATCTCATTTTGTTACCTGTATAAAAGACACCTGTCCACAGGAGCAATCAAACAATCTCCTCCATGGCATAGACCAAAGAGCTGTCCAAGGATGTCAGGGACAAGATTGTAGACTTACACAAGGCTGGACTGGGCTACCAAACTATCGCCAAGCAGCTTGGTGAGAAGGTGACAACAGTTGGTGCAATCATTCGCAAATGGAAGAAACACAAAACACCTGTCAGTCTCCCTAGGTCTGGTGCACCGTGCAAGATCTCACCTCGTGGAGTGTCATTGATAATGAGAACATTGAGGAATCATCCGAGAACTACACGTGAGGATCTTGTCCATGATCTCCAGGCAGCTGGGACCACAGTCACCAAGAAAACAATTGGTAACACATTACGCTGACAAGGACTGAAATCCTGCAGTGCCCACACAGTCCCTCTGCTCAAGAAAGCACATGTCCAGGCCCGTCTGAAGTTTGCCACTGAACATCTGAATGATGCAGAGGAGAACTGGTTGAAAGTGTTGTGGTCAGATGAGACCAAAATCGAGCTCTTTGGCATCAACTCAACTCGCCGTGTTTGAAGAAGGAGGAATGCTGCCTATGACCCCAAGAACACCATCCCAACTGTGAAACATGGTGGTGGAAACGTTCTGCTTTGGGGGTGTTTTTCTGCTAAGGGGACAGGACAACTGCACCGCATCAAAGGGACGATGGACAGGGCAATGTACCGACAAATCTTGGATGAGAACCTTCTTCCCTCAGCCAGGGCATTGAAAATGGGTTGTGAATGGGTGTTCCAGCATGAGAATGACCCAAAACACACGGCCAAGGCAACAAAGGAGTGGCTCAAGAAGAAGCACATTAAGGTCCCGGAGTGGCGTAGCCAGTCTCCAGACCTTAATCCGATTGAAAATCTGTGAAGGGAGCTGAAAGTTCGAGTTGCCAAACGTCAGCCACCAAACGTTAATGACTTGGAGAGGATCTGCCAACTGGAGTGGGCCAAAATCCCTCCTGAGATGTGTGCAAACCTGGTGACCAACTACAGGAAATGTCTGACCTCTGATTGCCAACAAGGGATTTGCCACCAAGTACTAAGTCATGTTTTGTGAAGGGGATCAAATACTTATTTCCCTCATGAACATGCAAATCAGTCATCATTTGTTAGACATGCATTTCTGCTGAATGTTTTGTTACTATTCTGTCTCTCAGTCAATACACCGAACATTCAATGTTAGAATATCATTTCCGAACATGGACAAACATTCAAAATCAGACAGGGGATCAAATACGCATTTCTTCACTGTAAAAGCAAAAAGTCAAAAATATAGTATTTTTACCAAAATCTGCGTTCTGTTTTTGCTTATAGTGCAAAAACTAAAAACGCAGGGGCAATCAAATACCACCAAAAGAAAGATCAAGTCATTGGCAAAAAGGACTTAAATTTCATTTGGGTGCAGCGTTGCATTACCGCGCAATTGTAAGTTAAAGTAACGCAGCGCCGTACGGCAAAAAATGGCCTGGTCAGGAAGGGGGGGAAATCCTCTGGAGGGCGAGGGGTTAATTGAACAAGCTGAAGTTAGAAGCTGATTGGCTCCCATGCACAGCTGCACCAGATTTTTCAGTTTTAGTAAATCAACCCCAGTGTGTTGTCAGTGATGACATATTATTATGTGTCTTATGAATTATTATTGAAGTGTTTACCTCAAAGTAATGTTCGGCATGACATTTCACATTCTCGCTTCCATATTGTCATTCTATGTGAAAATTTGTAGATTAGCCACTACAATCACTTTATGCTCCCTGCTGCAAGTGGACATTACATATATTTTTACATGTTAAGTACACGCATGTTAAGTATCTGTG